ATGTAGACCAGGCTGGCCTGACACTCTCAGAGGCCTGCCTCTGCCTCCCAAGTGCTGGGGTTAAAGGTACACTTGTTTGTTTTAAGGTTTATTTATTAATCATTTATACAGTATTCTGCCTGCATTTGTGCCTACACACCAGAAGAGGTGGTGGCACCAGATCTGATTATAGATGGCTAATGAATTGCTGGGAATTGAACTCAGAACCTTTGGGAGAACTGCCAGTGCTCTTAATCTCTGAGCCATCTCTCCAGACCCCTGCTGTTGTTGTTTTTTTTAATCAGATTTTCACGGAACACTATGCACATGTGGTTACAGGGATGCCCCATATCAGGTACACAGCTGGACCTGTTGAAAGCTCTTTTCAGATGCAGCCTTGTGAGCTCCCACAGCCCGTGCAACAGCAGAAGCAGCAGCTCTTCTTGCAGGAGTGTATCTACACCATCTACACCTTTTGTACTTTCTGGAGCAAGTATTGGTGGTGGTACAGGAGCAATTAGGGTCCAGCCGGAGTCAGAAGGCAGCTGCACGTAGACATGACTGGCTGTGTGTGTGCAGGTGCATGTGTATATAGAGGCCAGAAGGTGATTGTTCTGTTTTTTGAGACAGGGTCTTTCACTGGCCAGGAGCTCATCGAGTTGGCTAGACTGGCTGGCTAGCAAAACCCAGGGATCTATCTGACACCACTTCTTCAGTAGTCAGATCACAAATGGCTTTTTATTTTATTTTTTTTATTTTTTATTTTATTTTTTTTTTTTAAGGCAGGGTTTCTCTGTGTAGCCTTGGCTGTCCTGGAACTCTGTAGACCAGGCTGGCCTCACACTCACAGAAATCTGACTACTTCTGCCTCCTAAGTGGTGTTTATTATATTTTAAGACTGGTCTCACATAGCTCTGTTTGTAAATACTTCTTTAATTTGTGCTCCTTGTGCCTTTACCTCCTGGATTCTGGGATTACAGGTGTGTGCTCCCACAACCAGCTAGACTATAGCTGTGCCTAAACTGAATCACAACCCCATACAAAGGTCACATAACTGAATGTGGGTTATCAAAAAAGAGGCTACAGTAAAAGGCTTCTGAAACCATAACAACCAAAATTTAATTCAAAATCAAGTGGCTAAGGAATCCAAGGTATCTCTGGAAGCAACATGTTGAATCACACTTCTCTGCAGCTTTCCATTCAACTCAGGACAAGTGTACTGTGCACTGTGCATGCTGTTATGCTAGCACCACTGTCTTAACTTAGAACATCTTAGCTCAGATTGGAGAGTATCGTATGTAAGAAGTGTAGTGTCTCTATTGTATGTACACAGTGTTCTGCTCTTATAGAAACGTAATGGTATAATTACTGTGAACAAAGCTGTAGTAAGAATTCTGGAGTTTTGATTCTTAAAAACAAAACAAAACGAAACAGGCTGGGCATAGTGGTGCATGCTTGTAATCCCAACACTCAGGGAGGCAGAGGCAGGTGGATCTCTGTGAGGACAAGTTGTTCTCTGAACTCCATATTTGAACTGTGTGCTTCCCCCTCCCAAACAAACAGATAAATGTAATACGATAAAAAAAAAACTTTTGAGTTGCTCACTTCAGTTTTATTTTTAAAAATGTTAAATTTTGTCTTGGTATTAGAACAGAATTTCTGAAATGCTTTTAAATATATTTCTGCCCTTTTGTAGTACATATTTCTGCACAGTGGTACTCTCAGAATTAATGATTATAAAATCAAAATACTGATCAACTGTGAAAAATATTGAAGATTCTCTATGTCCTGCAGTATCAAATATTTAGCCAAGAGTTAATTCTTTATGTAAAAAGTGCACCCATCTTATTAGCATGTCAATTTGGTTTTGTCTAGTGAACTATATGTATAACAAAGAATTCTTTAAATAGCAGGGCATGATGGCTATGCCCATAATTCCAGCACTTTGGAAGTGGAGGTAGAAGGATCAGGTCATCTTCAGCTACATAGTGAATTCCAGCCTGTGCTACAATGAAACCATCTCAAAAAAAAAAACAAAAAACAAACAAAACAAAACAAAAAAAAAAAACACACATTAACAAAAAAACACTTTTTAAAAATATTTATTAGTGACTATCAGTGTTTGATTTGTACAACTATTTTATATATTTATATACTTACAGTCACATAACAATTTCTCCCACATAAAGAGGTCCCAAATGGAAACAGGTTGAGAGACTCTGGTAGGCAGCATTGTTAGTACCTCCCAATAAAGGCATCATCGGCTAGCAACGCCACAGCCTCCGGTAGGTGCCTGTTCTCTCATTTATAGACGGGGAGACCAAAGATGAGGGAGGTTAAAGATTTTGCCCCAGGTGAGAAATTCAAATTTAAACCTGCCTAAATCCAGGAATGACTATATCAAGGACTACAGAGACAAGCCCCAGGCAAATTCATTCTGGTTGTCAACCTTGAGCACTCTTGTAGCCAAAGGGGAGATCTATATTTTCATGTAGAAGTCAGAGAGCAACTGCAGAAGTCCTCTTTTTCCATCACGTGGCTCCTGAGTATTGGACTCAGGCTGGCAGGCTTCAACTACCGAATCATCATGTCCACCTGCTATTCATATTTGTAAGTTTAAAACTTAAATTTTAAATTACAAAATAAAATTCTGCAACTCTTTATTTTGAAAATGTCAAGGCTAGAGAACACGTAGAGAACTGAACAATAAACATTTATACTCAATTCATCTATATTCTACAATTAACATTTTCCACCTTTCCTTTTCTATTTATCTTTACACTTTATTAACTCTATTTTTTGACAACTTTATACTTGTATATCTTGATTATATCCACCGCCAACTTCCCCGACCCACCTTCATGTTTATTTAATTTTCATTCATTCATTTGAGACAGGACCTCACAGTATAGTCCTGGATAGCCTGGAATTCACAAATTAGGACAGGTTGACTTCCAATACATAGAGATCTGCTTGTCTTTGCCTGTGGGGTGATGGTATTAACTATCATGTTTGACCCCTTTAAAAATATTTTAGTAAGCCTCTGAGTCCAATTAGTATAGCCTGTTTGCTCAGGCACTGGTATGAACTGTCCAGGAGCGTGAGCAACTCCTATACCTCTATGCTTTTCTAAGTTTCTATCTATAATTCTGAAAGTGTTTAAGAGTAGTTTTCCTCCAAGTGTGGCAGTGTGTGCCTATAGGCCAAAGTAAACGTCGCCTGACCTATAAACCTAAATCTATTTTAGGATGTCTTAAAATACATCTTTAACAAATCAAAACAAAAACCAAGAACCCAGGGGAGGAGGTGGTCAGGGGAAGGAAATACGATTATGACTGGAGCGATGGGATCTACTAGGTCCTTGGCCAAGTATGTCAACAGTCACAACATGGGAATTCAGACCTAACAACACCAGATCCTAATCTGGCCACTTCTCATGTGAAGAAAAATATTTAGCCAAGATTTAATCTCAAGCTTCATTCAGGTATTGCTGGGAAGTTACATGAAAAGAGGCCCGTGGTTTCCTCTTCCTCAAGATCTCAACCTCCCCCGAGAAAATTCTCCACCCGGGTACGGCCGATTTCGCTGTCGTAAGTTTTAAGACACCCAGCGCCTAAAGGTCCGACCCTGGACAGACGGCCCTTGAGGGGAGAGCACTGCGCAAGCGCAGAAGGAGCGGCGGCAGGTCGTCATGCGCACGCGCAGCTCCCTAGGCTCTTTAGTTTCTCTGCAGCTGACTAATGCGCGGTTTAACTTCCCGCCCCGCCCCTCTCAGCCCCGCCCCTTGCGTTGCCACGGACACCCAGGGGCTAAAGCCGGCCGGTGGCAGCGCCCTGGGTGTGGTGTGGTGGTGTCTTGCGAGGTTTGCGTGGGCGATGTGGAGCGGCACCGATGTTTCGCAGAAGAGCTTGGACTTGGAAAAGATGCGGTCGGGGGCCCTGGGCCACTGCAGGCAGTTTTTTTGGCTGGGTGTCGCCTTCGACGCTGTGGGTGTGGCAGTGCTGTTCACTGGCGTCTTTGCCAACTTGCTGTTCTACGACATGCTGCTCTATCTGGGTTCCATCATCATCTTCGTCAGCCTCTTGTGGTGGATCTCCTGGTACACCGGCAACATCGAGGCACTCCCGGAAAACCCCTTAAGAAGGACTTCGCGCCGCGCGGGCGAGGTCTCTGTGCACCGGTGCGGCAGCCGTCGCTTCTCGCTGACCCTCAGGAGCGTCTCTAACACCTTCCAGCTGATCCGCCGGCGGCGGCGGCAGCGACTCCTCCCGAGGGTTCTCCAGAGGGTCAACAGCCTGAGCTCGCCTGACCCGGGCCACATGGACGCCAGGACTGCAGGTGGCAGAACTTCGTTCTGTCTGGCGAAGCCTGTGTCCGTTCTGAACCAGCTAGAGCTTTGCGCAATCCAGGCCTCTAAGAGTTTTCCTCTGGTCCCTCTACATTCCCCTCTCTCCATTTCTCCTTCTAGAAGCCTGCCTGTCTTTTCGGTGACCTCGCAGTGCCACCCTCTGGCGTCTGAAGCCTCTGAAAGCTATAACAGGATGGCTTTGTCCTCTGACTGCCATGTGCCTCAGGAGCGCTCTAATATCAGTTTGACCTCTCAGGTCTACCCTCTAGAACGGACAAAGAATCAGAGTCACCTCCTGGTGCCCGTACCCCCTGATAGTTTTCCTATGGTACCCATGATCTCCAAGAGCCAAATGCAGGGCTCTCTATCCCAACAAAGCCATCTCCAGAGTCTTCCCCGTGTCTCTCAAAGGCAGCCTGAAACTGCTAAAGCTTCTGAGAGCCATACTTTAACCACAGGGGTTCCTGTGGTGTCACCTGGGTTTGCCCAGGCTCTGCACCCGGAGGCGTCTTTAGCACAAACTTCTCAAAGTCATTCTTCATGTGTCCAGAAAGTTCCTAAGAAAAGTGCTGAAGTTTTTGGGACTCTCCCGGCACCCAGCCAGAAACTATCTCGGGAGCAGCCTGACCCTTCATCCCCTGTCTCTGAGGCCACACATCCAAAACACTCAGTGTGACTCTTCTGGTAACCCTCCAGCCTTGGGAGAAGTGAGGAAAAGTTACTCTTTCTAATAGGAATCAGACCCCAGCAATTTGAATGTCTACTAAGGCTTTTGCCAAGTTAAGTGCCTTGAGGAAAAACTGCCAACCATTACCCTTCTTATTGTCAGTGTTCTAGTGGCTTTCTCAATTCCTGTAGTGGGAACAAAGTGGCCTTGGACTTCAGGAATTAGCCATTTGATGGTTGGTAGGCTTTTGAAAATGGCTTTCTGAGTAGATGAAGCCCAAGGCTTTGACTACTTTACTGGGTGATGAAATCTGTTCCTTTTGTTTAAGGTTAGCAGGGGAGCCAGAGGAATGTTTTTCTTTTAGGAAGTTATAAGGTCTGGAGGTAGGTGAGGGATGTGGATTCTGCAGGGGTTCTCCTGGACGAAGGCAGCTTCAGTTTGTACAGGAACATAACACCAAGTGACATTGAATCTGAGTGAGGAAACTATTCCTTTTCAGTTTATTTGACTTTTGTCAGAGAGGCTAGCTTTTATTGGAGACAATGCTCTTTAATGCCCCTCTAAAGTTTCAGTAGGCAAAAACTATAGTCAGCGAGACTGTAATAATCTTCATATTCATACACTTTTCAGTGAGTTACTTCTACGTAATGCCCAGTGATACTAATTTCCTGTTTACAACAGTGATAGTTGCTGTTTAAATACTGAAAGACCCCTGCCTCACCCTAAGTTAAACATAGCTAACGCCATTTTGTGGGATACCACTGTTTTGTAAAACTCTAAAGGCTAATGGAAAACTAGAAAATTACTAAGAAACCCAGCTGTGTCACCCACTTGGGATATCTGCGGTCAGGCTGCCCCAGTTGAGCTAAAAAACACTTTGTGTTAATCACCCTCATGGATATCTGTGAGACTGTTCCAGTTAAGATAAGGGTCCTAAGGAAAACAACAGATGGCGGGCCATGTCAAGGGGTCATCATGACTGTTTCGACCACCCAGTTCCTGGAATCTTGGTGTCCCTGCCAAACTTTGATGCAAACCGTGGTCTCATGTAAACGGACCAATCAGCCCCCTGTAACCATGCTTCTCGCTTCTGTACCCACGCTTCTGCTCTAAAACCCTATAAAAACCCCAGCTTCCCACCTAGGGGGCGCGCAAAGTCATCCGAATGACCTTGCTGCCCCGGGTACCCGTGTATCAAAATAAAAGCCTCTTGCTGTTTGCATCCGAATGGCCTCATTGTTCCTTGGGAGGGGGGTCTCTCTGACGGAAGATACCCTCCGGGGATCTTTCAAATACAGCTAAATAAAACATTTTGCACAATGTAAAGGTAAGCTTTGACTGCATAAGAAAGGTTGAGTGGTTCTAAAATGAAAAATTTTGGACGTAAGCTATCTAATTTGCTTTCTCCCTCTTTTTCTCTCTCCTCCCCTCTCTTCTTTTTCTCTTTCTTGGTTTGCTTTTTGTTGTTGCTGTTTTTTTGTTTTGTTTTGTTTGTTTGTTTTTTGGACAAGGTCTTCCTATGTAGCCTTGGCATGCCTGGAATTCCCTATGTAGACCAGGTTGGCCTTGAACTCAGAATTTCTGCCTGCCTTTGCCTCCCAAATTATGGCCCTTTCTCTTAACAAGGCCTCATGTAGACCAGGCTGTTCTCAGACTTGCTGCATAGCTTAAGATGATCTTGAAATTCTGATCCTCTTGCTTCTACTTCCAGAGTGCTAGGATTACAAGTATGCACTGCCACTCTTAGCTGAGATTTCTTTTTCATTGCCTTTTTTTTCCTTGGGTGGGCGTTAGATATCTGGTGTCCTTGACCAGAAAAGGGCACATGATCCCCTAGAAAGGGAGTTACAGTTGTGAGCCCCCATGTAAGTGCTAGGAATCATACCCCGGTCCCCTGGAGGAGCAGTGCTCTTAACTGGTGATCCATTTCTTCAGTCCCATATTTGTTGCTCTTATTCCAATAATGGAAATAACTGAATAGTAGGTGGCAGTTATTATTTTCTTACAACTTTCTTCAATAGCCCTTTTAAAAAAATGTATGATCTCACTAGAGATAAACATACATATATATTCTGTAAATCTTTTGTTTTTTTTTTTTTGAGATAGAGTCTCCACTTAGCTTTGGCTGTCCTGGAACTCACTGTATAGACCAAATTGGCCTGGAACTTATTGTGTAGACCATATTGGGCTTGAACTCACAGACAGATATTTTATAAATCTTTTACACAGTTTGAACAACTGAATACTATAAAATATATGCAATGACTTGTGTTTCTATTAAAAGAGAGAAAAGTTGCACATAAGAACACATGCCTGTAGTCCTAGCATTTGGGATGCAGAGGAAGGGTGGTTGTTGAAAGTTATAGGTTAACCAGGGCAACATAGCAATTTTTGTCTAAAAAAACCCAAAAATTAAAAAATAGGGGGTTGGACACTGGTAGAGTGGCTCAGTGGCCATGCCTGCCTAGGATACCTACACTTCTGGGTTGACTCTCCCAAGTATAACTAAAATAATGATAATAATAATAAAGGAGGTAGGGTCTGGGAATCTCAGTTGTAGAAGGCTTGTCTGACATATAATATTGTGTGTATGTGTGTATATATGTATGTATATGTTTATAAAACTATGTATGAGCAACACAATAATTTTAAAAGGAAAAGACTGGGCTGGGTGTGGTGGTGCACACCTTTAATCTCAGCACTTATGAGGTAGAGGCAGGTAACATTTCTGTAAATTGGAGGCCCGCCTGGTCTACAAAGCAAGTTCTAGGCCAGCCAGGGCCACATAGTGAGACCCTGTCTCAAAAACAAACAAACAAACAAACAAACAAACCAGAAAGGTTTTATTGTAACTTCAAAAGGCCATTTCCTGCCTTCTTTATACTTTGAGGTAGTTCATATAATTGAAATAATATATATGCAAGTCTTAGAGACTTAGATGGTTAAGTAAGTACCAGGGACCAGGTAAACATGAAGATAAAAGGATGCAGATTTTGCCAACAGAACGTTTTGTAGTCTTTGTTCGCTGAATCAAAACAATAGTTATGAGGATGACTGAAGGTCAGCTAAGGAAAAAAGAAGTTTTTAGCAGCCTAGTGGGAGTATTATCTTTTTGACAGGAGGAGTCACTCATGCCCTTCAAATAGTTCTTTGGCCAAAACATTTGCATTCTTTCTAATAGGTGCCAGGCATGGTATTATGTACTGGAGAGTTAGCGCCATATTTGGAGGCCCTGCTTTTCAATCACTTAACATCTATGAGGAGACATGAACACTAAAAGAACTACTGCAGTGTAATACGGTGCTTTGAGAATACCAGTGAGGTCTGTGTGAGGGGTGTTTGAATTGGATCTAAAAGCAGGTGTTCACTGGGTGAAGACCATGTGTGAGAACCTTCCATGTAAAGGGAAAAGTATTATTACCGAAGAGGGCTTGTTGCTCTTCTAGAGGACCCCTATTTAGTTCAAGCACACATATTGGGTAGAGTCCAGTGTTTATAGCTCCATTTTCAGAGGACCTGATGTCCTCTTCTGGCCTCTGGGGGCACACACCCAGGACATAGCATATACACAAACACATTTACACATAAATAATATTTTTTTAAAAATCTGTTTTTTGGGCCAGGTGGTGGCGGTGCAGGTGCGGCACACCTTTAATCCTAGCATTCAGGAGGCAGAGACGGTCAGGTGGATCTCTAAGTTCTGAGGGAGGACAGGGTGAGTTTCAAAACAGACGAAGCTACACAAGAAATCCTGTCTTAAAAAAAATAAACAACAACAAAAAAAAGCAAACAAAAAAGGAAATGGAAAAAATCTGTGGTTGCCTTTTTTTTTTTTAAGATAGGGTTTCTCTGTGTAGCCTTGGCTCTTCTGGAACTCACTCTGTAGACAGGGCTGGCCTTGAGTTCAGAGATTCTCCTGCCTCTAGGATTAAAGGCGTGTCCCACTATGCCTGACAATGAATGAGTGAATATCTTAAGCAGGGCATAAGTGCACACAACTTCAATCCCAGCATTTGAGAGACAGAGGGAGGCAATCTCTATGTGTTTGAGTTCAGCCTATTCTACATATCACATTCCACAACAACCAGGGCTACCATGTCTCAAAAATATATATATGGAAAGAAAGAAAGAGAGAGATACAGAAGGGCTTGGACATAGTAGCTAAGCCAGCAGAAAGCCCTGGCTTTGTATCGACCAGTCAGGGTCTTGCATACCTGTAATTTCAGCAACAGGAGGTAATGACACAAGGATCAGAATTCAAAGGTTATCCTCAGCTACATAGTGAGTTTGAGGATAGCCTGGGCTACATGAGACCCTATCTCTAAAAAACAAGCTAAACAAACAACAATAAAATTAAGTGGCTGGCATGATGAGTCAGTGAATAGAAAAAAATGCTTTCTGCCAAGCTTAATGACCTAACTCGGTCCCCTAAACTCAGATGGTAGGAGAGAACCGGCTCCCACAGGTGGCAGTCCTCTGACCTTTACTCTTATATTTTGTCTTTCTCCACATAAATAAAAACATGCAATAAATTTTTTTTTTAAATTAAGGTTCACTTTATTAAGGGGTTATATTTTAAAACGGTACCAAGTGGGAGGTCCACAAAATATATTAAAAATTTTTTGTTTTGGTTTTTGAGACAGGGTTCTCTGTGTAGCCTTGGCTGTCCTGGACTCTATTTGTAGACTGGCTGGCCTCAAACTAGAGCTCTTCCTGCCTCTGCCTTGCGGAGTACTGGGATTACAGGCACGCAACACCACAACCAGGCTAAATATAAAATTTTTTTTAAAGGAAAAGGAGTAATAATAGTTGATGGCAGCTGGGAGTGGTGGTATAGGCATGTCTGTATGAGGTTGTGCACGCGAGTGCAGGTGCCAGCAGAGGTCAGAGGCACCAAACCCCAGAGCTGGAGTTACCAGACAGTTGTGAGTTATCTGATACAGGTCCTCTGGAAGTGCTGCAAGTGATCTTAAGCACTACACTATGTCTCTGGGACTTTTTTATTTTTTATTCATTTTATTTTTTTAGACAGACTGTCATGTAGCTCAGGTTGGCCTCAAATTCTGTATTTGGCCAAGGATGACCTTGCAGTTCTGATCCTTCAGCCTCTACCCCCATGAGTGGTGGGATTACAGGTGTCACTAAACCAGGTTTGTGTAGTGCTGGGGATAGACTCCGGGGCTTTCTGCATACTAGGTGAGCAGTCTACTAACTGAGATTCCTCCCCCAGAACACCATATCCAGCTTCTTAGGAGAATTTTTACTTGGGTGGAGTTGTGTTTGTAGTTTGCAGTTCTACCTGTGGCCGGCTGTAAAGTAATGTCAATAGGCAAATAATTGAGATGAATTGCTAAGGTTCTCTTTAAATTATAAGATAAAAGTAGACCTCTTAATTGTTAACAACAGTTCCTAATTAAAATATAGACTCCACCTTGCAAAATACTTCCAGGTGTTTGATTTCTTGTCCAGAACCTTTTTAGTATTGTTACAGAGATGACATGTGGAATTACTGTTATATTATCTCATTTATGCATGTTGCAGGCAAAATAAGTACTTATCTAAATCAGGGGCATATGGTGGCTGGGGTTTTCCCCCCATAAATGTCAAGGTAGTAGATACTTTTGCCAAAAGACAAAAATTGAAGGTGTGAGTTTAGAAGCAGAACTCTATGAATTTGGTGAATTTATACTGGTTTGTATATCTAATTCCTGGATAGCCAGGAATTAGATGTTAAAATGTTGTGAGTCAACTTATGTAATGAAGGAGAAAACCTTGCCCTCATTGGTCTGCTTTCCTGGAATGGGCTCGATGGCTCCTTTGGCTCCAGTTACATCACCTGGAGTCATTTGCCTAACCAAGAACAGGTAGCTTAGAGGAGAGAGGACCTGATAGGGTGGTTCTACAGCCAACATTAACCCTTTACTCTGCTCTAGTGACACTCAGAATACAAAGCTTTTTCATTTTGGTTTGCAGGCCCAAGATGAAGCAGTTTGCTAATCTTCTGACTTCCAAATGGAGAATCCACCTTTCAGGACCTGGTATTTGATAACAATAGAGTCCTCATTGTATGGCAATGCCTGCATCACTGGGAAGGCCACTAGTCAGAGAGAGGCCCTAAGAGTGCTTGGGTGGGAACTGATCCCTAGCTTGGGGTCTGAGGCTCTATCTTAGGGTAAGGAGGGGTGCCCACCAATACCTAGTGTAGAGAGAGCAGAGATGCAC